ACTCAGACTTTCGCCGCCTTAACTTTCGTCCTTGTCTTGTTGTGTTTCCCCCTGATGCCACAGGGTGCTGTTTCTGATGCCACAAGTCACTGTCCGAGCACCAAATATCGATAACTTCAAGTGAGACCGGGATCCGTTTTTTTTTTTTTTTTTTTTTGGATTCTTCGTTCACTGTGGAGGCATGCTGGAAAAACAAAGTTTTCTTCACAAATTTAACATAACATGGGGTGAGTAACTTATATACAAACAGCCATTGTGTAAGTGAAGTGTTCCTTTAAAGAAAACCTTTACAAAATGATAAACTTCAGCCTCCCCTCACCACCACAAATATTTACATACAGTCCCTTAAATCTTCAAAAACAGATGGAAAGAAACGCATAGGACTATTTTACACAACAAATGCCATATATCTAATAAATCTGACTATTGTTAAGGTCGTCATCTGACAAAACTATAAGTTAGAGAAGGTCAGAGGTTCGGGTGAAGCCTTGGGACGATGAGCTGACGTACTGCGGTAAGTGTGTTGTGTTATTTCCGTGACTTTGTGCTGCTGCATCGAGCTAGACCAGTCAATTTTTGGATATTCTTCTTTTCAGCTGCTGAATATCTGCTACACAACTTGTGATATTGAGCTTTATAAATGCATTTTTATTGAATTAAACTTAATTAAATTCATCGTGATCTGGGTGGCCTACCAATTTAAATATCCTGAGAGGTCGCCAAATGTTTTTTACTTTTCAGATTACTTAATTTGGAACATTTTTAGACGTATGAAGAGGCAATACTTTGAGCCTTTATACATGTCCTCTAATATATTTTGGCACATTCCTGCCCAGCTCTTTTACTATAAACAGTTACACTGTACATATTTATATCAGAATATTTTCTACTCTGTATTTATGTTTCTTATCTGCTGAAGCAACTCCTTGTGTATGAAACCCTACTTGACACTACACCAGACTCTGAACATTATTTGTGTAACAGATCTATTTTTTCTTTCTTATCCCATTAATCCACGAGACTGTATTCCTGTGTTCACCCTGCACTGTGTAAACAAGTGAGGTTACCGAGTCAATTTCTGCCGCTCTGTGCCAATAGGTGCATGTACGAGTGTTTGCAAAGATACAGTGTCACACACTCACAATGAGGAGATGATACACCGCCCGCTCAGACACAACAGGTCCACCTGTTGGCGTCCATCCAGCGCACCTCTTTCTCTCTGAGGCTGAACTCGGTGTCCTCTCGTCTTGGCCCCCATCCAGTCCCCCCCCCCTCCTCATCTCCTCCTCCTCTTCGCTCTCTTTCAGTCTCTCGTCTTGACTGGGGATGTTGCATTGTCGCTGCCCGTCGCCACGACAACTAGATGGCAGCTGTGCCCGCCTCTGCTCCTTCGTTCTTATCCAAGAGCAGCGCTGATTGTCTGTTTGTCTCTATCACTGGGAACTGAGTTTATCTGACTTCTCACGTCAACCGAGGAGTTAAAGCTCAGTCTTAAAGGGACAGTTCACCCTATACTCAAACACACATATTTCCCCTCTTACCTGTAGTGCCAATAATCAGTCTAGATTGTTTTGGTGTGAGTTACAGAGTGTAAGAGATATCAGCCGTAGAGATGTCTGCCCTCTCTCCAATATAATGGAACTAGATGACACTCGGCATGTGGTGCCAAAAAAATACGTTTGAAAAGCTCAACATCAATGTGTCTTTCCAGAAATCATGACCTGGTTACTCAAGATAATCCACAGCCCTTGTTGTGGGCAGTTTCATGTGGGGACTATTTTCTCTCCACCGAATTACACCCGCCAACCGTATCAGGGAAGGAAGAAGGAAGCGTGCATCTACTGCTAGCTCACCTAGCACCACTGAGCAAGCTAATGGTACAGCTCAGCCAAGGAGGACGCCATTGGTACCTTTAACACTGCCTCTTCAAGGTAGGAGCGTTGTGCCATTTCAACACCTGCCAACTGTTTCACAGCACAGAAGGAAGTGTGCATCTACTCATGGACGAGAGGCTCATGCGAGATGTAAACATTGACAGCATCCTCCTTGGCTCAGTAGTGCTAGGTGAGCTTAAAGTAGATGCACGCTTCCTTTTGCTCGGTGATACGGTTGATGGGTGTAGTTTGGTAGAGAGAAAACAGTTCCTATGTTAAACTGCTCACAATAAGGTCTGGGGATTATCTTGAGTGACCTGTAGAGTCTGACATTTTCTGGGATTCCTGTGGGATGGGAGTCCATGTTGGAGGTTTTCTACGTAGGCCCGAGGAAAAGCAGAGAGGCCCCAGAACAGAGCCATACAGCCGAATATAATACTGCAAATGGAAATAAAGTTTTCTTTGACTAGTGTGATCCTGACCCACTTTGGGACCATGATCCACCAGTTAGGAACTTCCGATCCAGACCGATTAACAGCACTACAGGTAAGAGGCAAAACATGTATTTTGATTTTAGGGTGAACTGTCCCTTTAAAACTCAGTCTCAACTAACTGTGTTGGATTTAGAGCTTTCCATCACCTCAGGGTGCTTCACAGGGAAAAAAATAACTTTTCATTAATTCAGGAAACCTTGACTTTCTGGCTAATAACGGTAAAAGTCAGCCAGTGAATCAGGGGCAGTGTTTGTGCCAGTATGTTGTAAGAAAAGGGGACATTCAACTGAATCTGAAGTAGGGCTGAAATCCCCTCAGGGCTCACTTTGTTTAAGATGTAAGTGAGTGTAAAGAGTGTAGGTTTCAGCAGCCCTTCTGGTGAGGGTGTGGGGTGGTGTCTCCTCTCACGCAGGTGAGACCGAGCTCCTTATTGTCCGCACTAACCTTGTTTCCACTCAGCCAGGGAGGTGAGAGGACCTGCAGGTGCCTCCTGATCTGCGTGTGTTCTCATTTCTATTAATTCCTATGCTGCCTCTGTCTGGGTTCAGTTACTTGGCCACCTGTGGACGAGGATGACACAAGATCCCAAAATGTTAACGACAAGAGGAGAAAGACGCACAGATTCATCATGCCTAAAATAAGCTTATTTAATTAAGCTGAGTGCTGAGTGAGATATCAACTAAGACAGAGAGGGAGCTCACCCAGCATACACCACGTGGGTCAAATTACCAGTAAGACGAGTGATTAGCTCCGCTGGCAGCTCGCCAGCTCTGAGTGCAAATGATCTTATCAATGGGAGTGGTGAATGTGAGTAACGCAGCTGAAGAGGCCGCACGGATGACAATCAGGCTGTTTTCTTTTCCACATTACAGTGTGACATCTGCTGCGGTCGGAGGCCTCTATACGAGCGTCTGTGTGTGAGTCAAAGACGGCGAGTGTGCGAGGGGCATGAGCCCGCCCGCGGCGGTGGCATTTCATGCAGATGTTCACACTCGCCTCAGCCTGTAAATTGCAGCGTCTTCCGCTCTTCTTCACCCCCCCAACACACACACAGTTAAATCAGAGGCACTGTTGTTTTTCTGTCTCAAGGCTGCCACTTTTTAACATCCCCGTTACATCACTCAGAAGGAAACAAAAGAAACCACAAGTCCTTTTGTTGTTTGACTTTTTTTTTTCCTTTTAGTCAGATTTTTTTTTCCTCTAAAGCAACAGAAGTAAAACTGTCTATGCATCAATGGTAAATCTCACAATATTCCCGTTCAGTACCATCCCTCAGGGGAACAGGAGGAAGAGATAAAACAATTTAGAGCAGCAGCACTTTTCTGCACATTTTATGAACATCTTGCAAACAACGCAATGAATTAAACCATATAACCACTTTAACTCTTGGACCCCGCTCGTCTGAGCTCTCCCACAGGAACTTTAGTCATGATCTGTGGCTGCGGCTAGTGCTAATTTTGTCAGCTATCTTTTTAACTAAGTCCTGTGTCAGATGTTCGTCTTTGTCATATTGAGTCAAACGCATCCTGTAGTTGAGTGAAAGTCTGAGCCTTTTAGTCTGATTTTAGTCAATGAAAACATTGACAATTTAGTCCTTTTCTAGTCATCAGATTATGTTGAACACTGGAGTCAATCTAGTCAAACCAAAACCAGTAATTTTATAACTTAAGTCAAGCTTATTTCCCAAAAGACTTTATCCTATTAAATGATGAAAAGCAGGTTGAATGATTAATAATCATTGTGGTCTGTTGTTTTAGTTAACTTTAACTTCGTTGCTGTGAGTCCTCCTGACTGAGCTCTTTGTGTGCGGGCCACTCTAAAAACTTGGTATTTCACCCGTAGGCGGTATCATTACATTTCTGGTGAGGTGCACGTCAGGCTACGGCATAGGGTACTGCATCGATGCGACACAGAAGTATAAATCCAGCTTTACGTACTCCATCACACAGAGTGTTGTGTTCCTCATAGGCGTTCTCTCAGGGTCATCTCATCTCGTTTGGGATAAGCTAGCGAAACGTTGACCTAAAAGATGTTTATTAACGGAATATTTGCCTTCAGCCCAAGATTAAATCTACAGAGATCTTTTAGTTTCCAAAGATACACTTAGATTTCTGCTTTTTGCTGGCACTACTGCAACCACGACTAGACTTCAAAGCAGATTCCCAAATTACTTTCACCTTTTACTGCTGATAAATTCAGTGTAGTACCTTGAATCAATAGACTTATTTTTAGTCCTTTTACGTACAAAACTAGACGATCATTTCAATACCGTCACTGCCCACATATTTGTGTCCTTTATGTTAGCATCATTCTCGGAACCCATCAGCTGTACTCGGCGTCTGACTTCTGGCAGACGGCGATACAGCCTCTGGGGGCAGACCCCTGATTTTTTGGCATTCTGGTTTGATTTGGGTGAAGGAGGCGAATTTCCGTTTCCGACTTCCGTTTATATATAAGTAAATATGCTGAACCAATGCGATGGATTCATAGTTTGCAGTGACGCCAATTATGTTCCGCCTCGTTAGTTCACTGCACAGACTTTTTAACCTGGCAACAACTGCAGCCAGCTCAAACGTGATTGGTCAATATCACACGGACTACAAACAGCCTACAACCGGAAACCAGGGCCCTTCCTCTCTTCTCCCGGAGGCAAGATCTCCGGGGTTTGCCTATAGATGTATATAGAGACTATGTTAGCATAGATACACCCACTAGATGGCGCTTTTCGAAAACAACAAACAATGGCAACGGTCGTCATATTGAACCTTTAAACAATAAAAACATATACGGCGAAATACATGTGGACGGACATTTTTTTTCAAATCATGTTCTGCGTTCATGTTCCATCGACATGGATCGATATGTCAATTCAATGATCAACACTCCCGAATCATTGATGCAAAATGAAAACATCTTTAGGATACGCCTTTATTTTGAAAGTCTGTGTCGCCGTCAAAAAGCGATTACGATAATGTTATTCACTCGGGAATAAATCAGCAGTGTGCAAATATTTTGGATTTCGGAGAAAATACAGGTCAACAGACAGAGCACATGCCGTATGTAAACGATGCTGTTACGAGATAAAATAGGACGTACCTGCCCGGACAGGCATCTCACTGTAGAATCGATATAATGTCGTATCGTAATGAAACTGGTGATCTACCTCTCTACTACACTGCCCCCACGATCTGCAGTGGTACTGCTCCGTTTCTTCTGTACCTGAAAGCTCTGAGAAAACGTGCACAAATACAGACGAAATTAAGTGCCGTCAGTGTCTGTATCTAACGGCATATTACCTGACTCTATGCTGTCTGTCTTGTTATTGCCGATACTTAAAGACAAAACATGTAAGATATCTAGCATAGAAAATTACAGACCAATTGCCTTGGCTAGCATACTGTCCAAAGTATTAGAACGGATTCTTTTAGATAGGCTTCAAGCATACTTAATAACTACTGATAACCAATTTGGTTTTAAAAATAAACACAGCACAGATTTGTGTATATATGCTCTGAAGGCGGTTGTTAGTAAGTATAGTAGACATAACACTCCAGTGTTTATGTGTTTTCTGGATGTATCTAAAGCATTTAACCGTGTCAATCATTGTAAAAAAATTTTTAAATTGCAAGAGCGAGGGGTCCCCCCATATCTGATAAGGATCTTGCATTTTTGGTATTTACATCAAACGATGCGGGTCAAATGGGGTAGAACCACATCGGCATCATTCCCGGTGACCAATGGCGTTTGACAGGGCGGAATACTTTCACCTGTTCTTTTTAATTTATATATGGACGATCTTTCTAAAGAGGTAAAAGCATATAAGACTGGATGTATGGTAGGGGAGAGTCTCATCAACCATCTGATGTATGCTGATGATGGGAACTGCCCATTGGTCCGACATCCCATTGTTCCAACCATATTAAACCCATTGTTCCGAAGTCCCGTTGTGCCTAAACCTAACCAGACCTTAACCACAGGGCATCATGATGATTTCGGAACGGACTTCGGAACAATGGGTTTAATATGGTTGGAACAATGGGATGTCAAACCAATGGGCAGTTCCCGTGAGCAGTAATGTTCCCACTTTTTATGCATTGTTGAGGAATTTTATGTTTAAATTTATCTGTAAACTATCTGACTCAGATAACAAAGTTATCCAGGTCCTGGTTGAGCCTGCATGGAGTGACACTAGATATTCTTCCTGTTTCTGGAAGCACTGGAGTAAATGTTTGTATGTGTTTTAGCTATTGTAGCTTATGAATTTTTTTACTGTTTTCATTGTCGTGATTGTTTCTCTGTCTGGTTTTTTATTTGTGTCTGTATGGACCACACTGGTCTGAAAAAAAAAAAAATAAATAAATAAAGTAATAAAGTAAAATACCAAGTTCTTAGGGCGCTCTTATGCTGCTGGTGTAGTCTTGATATGGCACACACAGCACAGGACACAAACAGCTACACTGAAATATGAAAATCTGTGTTTTGTTATCAATTTGTTGTCAACAAATGTAACGAGATTTGAGTGAATTTTATACTTTTATAAACTGCATTTTAGTCTTTTTCTGTTTTACATGTTGATACAGTCACAGTTTGTGTTTAATGATGTCAGTCTCGTCTCGTCTTAGGTCAATGAGTTTCATTAATAAAATTAACACTGCCATCAAGCACTTTGCCACGGGCAGCCAGAGGAAGAAACTTCTCGACTGCAGGCAGTTTGACAAAGTAAAAGACCGTCATTCAAAAGTCCGGCCAGAGCTCAGAGGGGGGCTTTAAACAACAGGATGATAACGTCCGCTTTTTACAGGACTGCAAATCTTTTTGTGCGCTCTCTTTCTAAACTACAAGTACCGTCAAGCATTCGGCTGAAAACTGCTGCGTTTCAATACGAGAACATCTCCAGAACACATTAGAAACATTTCCACTGATCGTCATGTGTTTGCCTTCAAGTCTGGATGAAAGTCTCGGATTGATGTGCTGAATCTGGTTTGAAGTCCAACTGTTGTGTTTTTTTTTCTTCCCACTTCTGCATTAGCAACTGCTATTAGAGGCAATTCCAACCACAGATCCCAATCTGCTCATAATAAAGCTGTATTGTTACGCTCCAGGCCCCGAAAGTCATGTGACCAGAGTGAGCGAGTTCATGAACTTCCCGAGACAGGCAGACAAACACATGAGTACAATTTGGAGCAACATAAGATGCACATGTATTTAGACATTGTTGTTTTTTCGTGGTGGCCTTTCTCGCTCTCTCTTCATGCATTTCTTTTTTTTTAATCCTCTGTTCAAAGTCGTAGGCAAATTCAAGGTTAAAGCGTGCGCAAGTCCTCACAACGACCTTTATCTCCAAGAGTCACATAAGCAGACTGCGAGGCCAGATATGTCACAGTTCTCCCCGCTGCAAAAGGAAAACAACAGGGGGAAACACAAAAGGTTACATATTTAAAACAAAACAAAGCAATTCATCCAGACTTGAGAGCTGAAAGTTGCTTCTTGAGGTGCTGTCGGAGCTTAGTCCTTTTTGTTGTTGTGTTTTGGCACTGATGGCCCTGTGATAATAAAGTCCTCCATTACCGGCAAAGAGAAACAGTCCAAAACTCCTCCGATCAGGGCCATGGTTGTCAGTCAAGTCATCTGATAGATCATTGTCACACCCAACAAAACATAAACAAGTTATTTCATGAGAACTGTACAGCCAAAAGAGACAAAAATAGACACAAAAATAGACTTAATATATTCTGCTAGGACAGCTCTATTAGTGCTAGCTGCTAAGACGGGGCAGAGAGACGGACAGATAAAAAGGACAGACAGGCACTTAAGTGCTGATGCATAGCGGAGATTAAAGTAAGAGCTAAAGCAAAAGACAGACAGGAGGGAGGGAGCGTCTTAAAGGAGGATTCTGGGTCACAACACTTTCAATTCAACCAGTTTAAAAGTTTTAAAATCTTAAAATGTTTGGTACCTTAACGTATAAAATAACTGAAGTTTCATTTATCATTTCATACTGGCTGAAGTGAAACAAGAGCTGACCCCATTTCCGGTGCTAAAAGCAGCGTGCTGACCGCTCTAAAGCTAGCATTAGCATGGCTATTGATAGGGTCTCTATCCTCAGTACCTAATGTTATTTAGCATCCTGAGACGAAGTGGATTAAATGAGACAAGTGTCTGGAGCTAACAGCACTAATGGGATTGCTTGGCTCTGTATCAGGGGTCTCTAACCCTGAGCTGTGGTCAGCAGGACGCTGAATTTATATCCTGGCACGATGCTAATATGTTAATCTGACCTAGCTGGCTTTAGCTAGCTAGCAAGCTACTGTATCCCCTGCTACAAGTGACTTTTGTTTTCAAGCCTGTGTGTTTAATACTTTAGGTGTATGGCTTTGTTAAAAACGGTAACAGAGAGAGAAGAAGACAGAGTAAAAGCAGCGCGAGCTAAAATGAGCCGAATGCTAACACAGGCTATGCTAATATTTCTCACAGTAGACAGAAAGGCCAGCAGATTGGCTAGTACCATCATGATTAATGTTAGCAGAGATGCTGCAATCATGTCATATTGGATTTATTGTGATTTCCAGTTTCAATTCATAAATATTGTTCATGTCAAAATCCGGCCCAGTAGCCAGAAGGAAATGTTTCTAAAGTGATGCTGTTTATGAGCTGACGTCATCGTGAGGTGGATGGTGGATGGCGTGACACCTGGGTAAAACACCTGTAAAACAACTGTTTGAGACCAACAAACAACAAAACCAGTAGCACAAAAGCCGCTGATAAAAAAGGATACGGGTTGCTAAAAAGTACCCACATTCAGCAGTACAAGAGCCGCTGGAAAAGCTGCTACGGGTTGCTAAAAACACTCATGTTTGATTGTACAAAGGCTGCTGGAGAAACGCCGACAGGTCGCTAAAAACACCCGTACTTGGCGGCACAAAAGCTGCTGGAAAGGGGCGCTGGCTCCCTGATCAGCACCCAAGTTCAGTGGCATGAAAGCTGCTAAAAAAGCGGTGACAGGTTGCTATAAAACACTTTCGGAGGACAAAAGCTCCTGGAAAAGCAGTGATGGGTTGCTAATTAACACTCGCATTTGGTGGTAAAAAATCTGCTTGAAGACACCCACGTTCAACATCACAAACGCTGCTGAAAAAGTAAACTGGCAACTGGAAAGGGGCGATGGCTCCCTAGCAACACCTGAGTTTGGTGGATTAAAAGCTGCTAGAAAAGCGGTGACAGGTTGCTAAAAATCCCTTCCTTCTGGTGATGGGTTGCTAAAAAACATTCCTGTTTAGGTGCAAAAAGATCTGCTGGAAAAGTGGCAACAGGGTGCTTAAAAACACCCACATTCAACATCACAAAAGCTGCCACCTGTCGCTCAACAACAACCAGTTCTGTTGTTTATTGGTCTCCAGCAGTTATCCGCAGCTTGGCAGCCATCTTGCCAAGGTGTTGTGCCATCCACCATCCCCTCCACCTCCCAATTCCAAAGCTAGGGGCCTAAGAGCTGCTGGAAAAGTGGCAACACGTCACTGAAAATCACTCATGTTCAGAAGCACAAAAGCTGCGGGAGAGTTGCTCAGAAACACCCACGTTCAACGGCACAAAAGCTGCCGAAAAAGCAGCCACCGGCATCTACACAACAACCAGTTATTGGTGTCCAACACTGGCCTGCAGCTTGGCAGCAATACTGCCTAAGTGACATGCCATCCATCATCCCCTCCACCTCCCCATGACAAAGACAGCTCATATGCTACGTCACTTTAGTAACGCTGATATACCTTTCAAACATGCAGATGTGTTGTATTTGTGGTTTGCAGAAATGTAGAATGCCAACATTTTATTCTGGTGACTGTGCTGTTGATTTTGGACATACCTATAGTGCTCACTGACCATGCACAGTATTTTTAACCCTCGCACTACCAACTCTGTGATCATGTTTAAGTGTTTCTTGCACACTGTAAACACTGGAATCATCCTATATGACATGAACGCAGCAAAAGCTCACACCAGTGCTTACCCTCCTTTTATCTATCTATATCTTCTGCTGCATTATTTTGTAACTACATCAAATCAAGCACAAAAAAAACCCCAAAGCTTCAGTTAGTTGAAGTTCTTTGTAAAATGGCTACAATCTGAAAACGAGGCACTTTTTGAGCAGATATATAACTCTATTCATTTTCTTTTTCATACACTAAATAGCCACCATTATACTCTTAATGATTAGAATTTCTCTCTTGGAAAAAAAAAACCTAAAACACTGATCTCCATTTTTTTTTGTACCCTTCTCTGATTGGCTTTCACTCAAGGAATGAGAGCAGCTTTTCAAGAATGTCATTTGGCACACATCCCCGTTGGTTTCCACAACCAACAAGATGAAAGCGAAGAAAAAAAGAAAAAGTTTTCCATCAGTCTGTCAACGTGCTTCAGGAGCGTGTCCGATCCTGCCGCTCTCTCCGTGTGATTGGCTGTCAAGAAAGGAACAGGCGGAGCTTTGAAGCTCTCCGAGCGGCACCAGATTGTTTCCCAAAGGACGACGCACTGACATCAGCACTCTGCAAGAAAAAAACAGAAAGAGGAAATGTTTGGTGAGATGCAGGATAAACAATAACCCAGATATGAAGGAGGAATAAATATTATGACATGCATATACAGTGTCTCTTGTTTATCAGGTTAATTATAATGTCTAATGTAAGATATCAGTGTCTGCTTATCGGCCCAGGAACACAGTGACCCGAAAACGAACAACAGGAATAAACAACAAAGGCAAATAAGCTGGAAAAAGACTCTCAGAGTCAGATGGGAAGAAAGCGATAAAGGGAACAGCGGGAAAGGAGAAAGTGAGGACACCTACTGCTGCAGGCGCAGAGTCAAGTGTGGGTGTGAGTGTGCCAGTGCGAGGGGAAACAGAGAAATCATGTCAGGGTTTTTTTCTGGCAATTTCACCTCTTCACATCACATCAGACATGTGAGCACACAGGTTTGTTTTGCCAGGAAAATGTCACTATTGTACTAATTCAAAAAAGGTCGAGTCTTAGCGGCGCATACAAGTCTTTCCTGGCCTTGTTTGCACAGTTGATAGGATTAGCAGGAATGCAGACTTAATGATAATTCTGCTCCAGAGTGGAGAGAGCAGACGAGTCACATGGCGTCGACCAGCCATCTGCTCGTTTTACATATGCACTGTGTTGTGTTTGGTTCTGTCCTTGGAGGAAACTGACAATTGAGACAGAAACCTGGTGAAGTCTTTGCTGATTAGTCTGGTTTTAATGTTGGCACTGTGAGACAGCTGATTTAAAGGGTCAGCATGCTTTAAATGACATCTGAAAATCCCACACCTCCACAAACTGTGCTACTCTGGGAAAGAAAGTTCACAATAATGAGAGAAACATTAGGTGCATGTCCTTCCACCTGACACCCACTAACCGGTAACTAACCCTTTAATTTTTAAGTAAAAACAGAAATGACTTCATTGACTCGGTGAGCTTTAGCACCATATCTGAAGGTGCTATCCATTTAGCGGTGGCGAAATTTTAATGTTTCTTGGTGTAAATGTTTTGCCTTTTATTATATTCTCTGTTGGCTCTGCTGACAGACAGTCAGCTAGCAGCGTTAACACTTGGAAACATAGTGCCCACTGCCCATCCTGCAGTCTCCACTGGTTTGCTAGCTAGCTGTACCACTCATTCAGCAATTACCACTGGTAACGTTGTGCCTCTGGTCTCACCCCAGGTAGCCCCGGTGAGTAAGCAGCTTCATTTTGAGCCACAAAACCCATTGAGCATTGTTAAGTATGTCAGCACCACTAGCTGTGCTGACAGTGCTAACGGTGCTGACAGAGCTAACAGTGCTAAAGGATCTTAGGGGCTTAAAATATAGCCATTTACTCATAGGGACGACCTGTGGGGAAACAGGTGGGTGGGCGCAATGTTTCCACAGCAACACTGTCCCACCACCATGGGTTGGCACAGCACTACCAGCTGTGCCAGCTCCAACACAACCTAGGTGGTGTGCAGTACAGAGCGGCCAAGGCTAGCTAACCTGTGTAGCATAAATGCCTCATTAGCTTTGCTCTCAATGTGGTACAGCACAGTGCTAGTACTATGACTAAACTGGAGACTAGCTAAATTAACCTGCAGACCAACATGCAAAAATGGTAAAAATATTCTTGGTGGTTAATGAAGTAACGGATAACTGTTGACATTCATACTTCCAAGAGCGCATAGCTGTAATTGGTTGTTCGAACTTTTCTATTTCCATTCTCAAGTTTGAGGTTTGACTGGCGCTCTTTTAATAACGTTATTTCCTTGCGCCCTTTTCTTTCTACAGTGGTACAGTGACACCTGACTGGAGAATTGGCGCCACCTAGTGCTTATCTTGATGGACCAACTCCTAATTCAATTCAATTAAATACAACTTAATTTATCCTGAATGAAACTCTTGTGCCAAAGAATGCTTCAAATACAGTAACAACAATTAGCGTTCACAAACCAGTAGCAACCAGAATAACCAGTGGGCTCCCCGGGTCAGGGTCTGTCCCAGTTTTTTTTAAACAAGTGAGTATTATGAGTATGAGTATTAAGTATCAGTCAAAATATTCAAAATATACAAGATATAAAGTGTTTAAGGAGCAAAAAACAAAAACCAGTGCCTACTAAAGTGACAATAGAAGTCAAGCGTACAAGAGTTACAAAAAATGAACAAAAATGGTGGAAACATGCGGATTAATTAGAAGTATTATTGCACATGATGTTGTGAAAATATGTTCATTTAACAGTCGTGGTTAGAAAAGCACATAAACTTGCATTTCCTCTTAAAATCTGTGCAACATTCAGATGGAAACCCAACTATTGCAAAATCTTCGGTCGCCAATTCAAAATGGTCGTCCCAGATTGCATTGTGAGCTCATTAACCCAGCACTCTCACCTAGTTTGAAAACTTCTACGACAAGTTCAGTGACGTTAACCCATTAGAGCACTTTACAGCCTTCCATGCCCCAATTACCTATGAAAGATGGCGAGCTCTGATTGGACGGACATGTAGGCCTCCATGTCTCCAGGCCAAGTCACTGCAAGGATTTATGATTCCATGTTGCTACGACACAACGGACCAATCAGAACACGGAATGAAATTATGCAGAATACCCTGGCTGACCCGACGCTGTGCAAAGTCTAACACACATTTTATTAGATCCGTTTTGCCCTGTGTGACATGCAATTAACCTGCAGGATAGCAGCTATCGTGTGTTGTGTGTGGCCCTTTAAACCACTGTTCTGATTAGGACATTCACCTGTGAGGGTCTTGTCATGTATGTTACCGTGTTTTAAAGTAGGACTGAGGTAAAAACGGCAAATAGTGAGTCTGCAACAAAGAACCATAAAGATTAGTCGATGTCCTTTAAACTGGGCTACTTTCTGTCAGATGTGGTGACTCACACCGAAGGCACTCAGGCTGCCGTCAGCCAAAATAACAAATGCACAAAGCTAGTAAAGAGAACAGGCTGCGAGAGAGAGTTCCCTGCATCTCTTTCCCTAAAATTTCCCAGCAGTGCTTGACTCTCTAATTGCATGAGGGTACTCTATATTTATGCCCCTCCCTCCCTCTCTCTCTCTCCAGTTAGTCCTCTTCCTGGTGCAGTGAGCTATATTTAGCCCCCCTCAGCACAGACGGTGCCCGCCAGCCAGCCAAGCCATGACGGCCTAAAGCAGAGCAGAGCTGAGCGGAGCAGAGCGGCTCCCTCATTCAGCTCAAAAAACAGCAACACAAACAATCAAGCCAGCCAACCAGAGGGACCGGAGGAGACAGGCCGGACACGCACTGGTGCACTGCCATGGACACACACATGAAACCACACACACAAAAGGGACACAGAGAAGATACTATAATTATGCGGATGACATTCACTTAATGATGACCTTTCCCCAAACACAGACGTGGGAAATTATACAGGGGAGCTGCTCTCGTCTTAATGCACATGCAGACTCTCTTATACGCACAGGAAATGTTTCCACTCTAATCAAATATCGCCGTCTTATTTTCCCCGCTTCCACCATTCTCACCCTCCCTTTGGGGGTTCGTCTATCGTCTACTGCCTTGCATCGTTTCTCCATCTGTGGGCAAATCGATGTAATAATGACCGCGGTAAAGACTGTGTGTGTGCGCCTCTCGTCCCCCTTTCTGTGCCAGACTGTTTAAATCAAGAGGTTAGACAAGGCTATCTGCCTCCGCACTCCGTGTCTAGCCAATAAGTGTTCTCCAGCCGCCTCTGTGTGTGTGTGTGTGTGTGTGTGTGTGTGTGTGTAATTAGGAGAGTCTGGGTCTATGTGATGTCTCAATCGAGGGCAGCCTAAAATTGAAAGCCACCCTGCTCTCTGGTCGTAAATCGAGTGTGGCAGTCTGTCATTTTCCTGCCGCCCCGGCTCCCACAAGACACGGAGCTGGTCTAAGCAACGTGGTGTGAGTCACCGAGTCCACTGGTCACTTTGAGTTACATCATGTTTTATTTTAAAGGAGAGACCTACAGTAGAGGTTTGCGCGTCAGGTACCCGGGCCCGCACCTGAGCACACTTCACTCCAAAGTCCAGTTCATGTGGTTAGTGTGAGCACTGTGCACTGTGCACTGCACACACTACAGTCTACTTGAAAAGGTGGTCTTGAGTACGGTTCATGTGTATTCTGGTACGGTAAACACCAACTGTACTAAAACACAGAAGTGGACTGCTATGTAAGTTTTTAGTTGGTCATGAAACAACTCCAGTTTAATACAATTGATTTAAAATCCGATGGCAGCGCAGCCAGACCCAGATCCGGCTTTGCTGCTGCTCCAACTGGAGCTCCGGCAGGAGGTTCACCTCACTGCTCCGCCTGTCCTCGGGGCTGCAGTATCCGTCTGTGGTACTCTTTTCTGCACTGTAGCACGACAAAAATGTCACTTAGATGATGTACTCAGGTACTGAACATCATTACTAATGTAAGAGCTGAGCAGCAGGAAAGTGGAGAAGATGGCCATCGGACTCGGGCACCGTATCGATATACTGTAGAGACCTAATATGATCCCATCATACCATTACAATAAATCAAAACAGTAGCTGCAGTAGACAAAACTGCTTGTGACAAATTGTATATCCGCCACGTATTCCCAGTATTGGACGCCTGATGAGGATGCCACCATGTATAGGGCCTGTCTGCTCCCAAATTTCAAACTAAACCAAAATGGTGGCTGTGAGGCAGGTAATAAGTCTTCCAGCTGCTGAATCTGTCTTTATTTTAGATCGACAACAGCCCAACAACCCAACTGCCTGTCCTCGCTGGTATCACTCCAGCAGATGTCAGATGAAAAGCAGCCATGCTGGCCCTCGCTCGAAAAGCACAGACAAGTGAATCCCACCTCCTCCACTAGATCGCTACAGAGACACCACAGCACTTGCGTCACAAGTCCCTCAAGTGCCACACATGCCGAAGAACTGCTCCGTACAACACCATCTGACACCTCCAAGGCTGCCTGGGTCAAGGCGAGATGGAGGGACCAGTGGAAATCAGCAGAACCATCACGGCT